CAAAGAGAGAATTGTTAGTCCAACTGAAACATATTATTGAACTGATGTATATCAACAACAGGGGATATCTTTGGCATCAGGTGCGGAACTTTCATGCAAATATACTCAGTGAAATTGAAGCAGGTGAAATGACATGGGGTGATGATACCACCCACATTTTCAGCCATTTGTCTGTCAATAAAAAACAAGTCAGCAATAATACTTCAGTTCACACGGGTCAAACACACGTTGGTATTGTGTAGAGTACAATAGAGATAATTGCAATGAAAGTTCTGCACACATGTCAAAACTACCAATAAAGGGACAAACAAGGTTGCTAGAACATATTTGTTCAAACTGCTATGTACGGGACAAAACCAAATCCAATCATTCAAAATTAAGATGTACACATCCTAATGTGTCTTACACAAATTATCCGAGTAAGTAGAGCAAATTCGGATTTGGCTTTGTTCCAGACACATAGCAATGTCTTGTTAGATTCACTACCAGATAGTAGTTCAAGTGACGATTTTACACACAGTTTTACTAAGACAGACATGCATACAACAACACAAGATACACAACATTCATCACAACATAGCAATGTTTTATTAGATCCACTACCAGATAGTAGTACTAGTTATGATTTTACACACAGTTTTACTAAGACAGACATGCATACAACAACACAAGATACACAACATTCATCACAACATAGCAATGTTTTATTAGATCCACTACCAGATAGTAGTACTAGTTATGATTTTACACACAGTTTTACTAAGACAGACATGCATACAACCACACCAGATACACAACATTCATCACAACATAGCAATGTTTTATTAGATCCACTACCAGATAATAGTACTAGTTATGATTTTACACACAGTTTTATTAAGACAGACATGCATACAACCACACCAGATACACAACACTCATCACGACTAGATTTTAAATGTCAGAAACGTTACAATTTTGACCACAACACAACACACAATTTTTTAAAACACAAAGACAGTGTAGTAGATAGTTACAATTTAGGGCAACATCCCACAGAGGAAAGAAATCCTCAGTACATAGTACACAACGATTTGTCTCATAAAAAGGCAAACTACACGCATGACAAGCAACACAATTTTATTATAACACATTTTCAAGAGGAATCAAAACCTCACAACCACATACCATTCCCAATCACACCCACAGACTTAAAGTCGGCAATTCCAGAATGGCCACCACAGTTAAGTCAAAATGCTAACTAGTATGCATAAACAAGTTAGTCAGACAAATCAATTCAATTACATAGAGGCTAGGAAATCACTCAATACCCCTTTAAGTATTCATGAATGGAGGGAAAGTTTAACTAATTATCATGACAAGGAAATAGTTGAATTTTTGGAATTCGGATGGCCATTAGGGCATAAAGGAGTTATACAACATAACTCAAATCCTACAAATCATGGCAAAGCACACTCCTTTCCTAAATGATATCGACAAATTTATCTCTAAAGAGGTTAAGTTAGGAGCCACTGTAGGTCCTTTCAAAGAAAACCCTTTTGACCAACAAGTTTTCATATCTCCGCTAAATACTGCGGAAAAGAAAGAATCCAAAAATAGAAGAACTATAGTAGATTTGAGTTTTCCACCAGGTAAAGGCATCAACGACGGAATTGAGAAAAATTCCTATTTGAATGAAGAATTTCAACTCAAATTACCAACTTCTGAAAATTTCAGTTCTTTAATAGTCAAGTTAGGCAAGAATAACAGCTCTATGTACAAAATTGACCTTAGTCGAGCATATAGACAAATCCCAATTGACCCTTTAGATTTTGATAAGGTAGTTTATGTGTGGAGAGATCAATTATTCTTTGACAGAGTTGTACCGTTTGGTCTTAGATCAGCTGCAATGATGTGTCAAAGAGTTACGGACGCAGTTAGATATATATTTCAAAATCGAGGTTTTCAAGCATGCAACTATTTAGACGACTTCGGAGGAGTAGAAACCCCAGGTCAAGTAGACGATGCAGTAGCTAGTCTCAAAGAACTTCTGAAAAGATTAGGCTTACGAGAGTCAGAAGAGAAGTTTATATCTCCTAGCTCAAATATGACTTTTATAGGAATTTTGTTCAGTTCTACCAGTATGACTATGTCCGTAACTCCAGACAGGTTAATTGAGATAGATGCAATTCTAAAGCTCTGGCTAAGTAAAAAATCTGCTACAAGGAATGAACTAGAACAACTGTTAGGAAAATTGAACTATGTTTCAAAATGTGTCAGGGGTAGCAGAGTTTTTATGAATAGACTCTTTGCGCAACTTAAAAAGCTCGAAAGACGCAATCACAAATTTAGGCTTTCAACACAGTTCAAAAAAGATTTAAACTGGTGGAAGACATTCTTGGTTCAATATAATGGCGTAACAGTCATCCCTGAAACAGAATGGAGAAAACCCGATCAGTTAGTATCCACCCATAGTTGCCTTGTAGGCATGGGAGGATATACTTCTCATGAGTATTATACTACTGTTATACCTCAGTACATGCAATGTGACAAACAGTGGCATATTAATGCATTAGAACTTTTAGCTATACCTCTAGCATGCAAATTATGGGGAGCTCTGTGGAACAGAAGGAGAATACAAGTGTTTTGCGACAATCAAGCTTCGGTAGATGTATTAAATTCTGGAAAATCAAAAGATTCCATCACGCTCAAAATTTTAAGAGAAATCAGTTTCCTAGCTGCGTGCAACAATTTTCAAATTAGAGCAGTACACATTCAGGGTGTTAACAATAGAATTTCCGATCATTTGTCTAGATGGTGGGAAGCCCCAATACATAGAAACACAGCAATCAAGTTACTAGGTAATAGAACAAGAAGATATGTTTCTGATAATTTAATCAAACTTAATGAGTTTTGGTAATTATAGGTGAGAAACTAGAACTAGAAGAGGAAGTTAAAGAAACCATGAAACAAGCCTTTGCGAGTGGTACATGGAAAAATATCAAGACACAATTCAGGTCT